TCATAAAATTTGATACTCATTCTAGACATCTGATCAAGGAATCCTTAAAATTCACTCAAGTGATCTAAAATAGAAATATCTTCCTTATACTTCAAACTTATGAAGTTATTCAACAAGAACAATTTATTATTCCCTAATTTAGAGGCACACAAAGACTCTATCTTCTCCCACAAAGTTTTTGCTTGTGTCTCATTAGTAATATGATTATCAACATTATCTTCTACATATTGTCGAGTAAAACTACATACATGTTGATGTTCAAACTCTCATTCTTCATCAGACACAATAAGTTTTTCTTCACAAATGCAATTTCTTCACAAATAGTAAGTTTTTCATCTTGCCCTTCCACAAATGGTAATTAGAACCATTCAACAATATCATCTTCATCTTTGTATTTGACTCCATCATTCAAACAAGTAAAATAGCCCTTAACCAAGAGCTTTGATGCCACTCTGATGAAAAATTAAGACAAAATAACAGAAAAATACGCAACAGATATATAATTCCTCTCACTTGTATGAACCTTGAGAATCAACAACAAATATAAGACGACAAACCAAACAAATAATTGCACAAAAGAACACAAATATTTTTAACGTGAAAAATCCCTCAATATGAGAGTAAAACCACGAGTCGTTCAGACCAAAGAAATAACTCCACTATAACCAATTGAGATGATAAGAGAGTCTTAAAGTAATTCACAAAATAGTGATAACAACTGCAAATCACAAAGCAAACTAGCTTACAAATAAGAATAAAAAAGCTGAAAAATTACCTAAATCTGTAGCTTCAGTGCAAAGCAATTATCTCTCAGCTCAGATTTCATTTTGAAGATCCCAACGACCAAAATTAGATATAGGTGTTGCAAACCTACCCTCCAAATTTGTGCTCGATTCAATGGCTAACAAATCGAGGATCGTCGATTTAGTGAGACTAGTGTAGAAAAATGGAAATAAATTTCTCTCCTTTTTTCTCTCTTTTGAATTTTTATTTTTTCTCTATTTCTCTCAACCTTAAATTGACACTCTCCCCTTAAATAAGTGAGACAAATAAACTATTCATATTTAAAATTTTCTCTATATAAAAAATAAAAAAAAGCCTAAGCCCAACAAAAGGCCGAAAGTGTTTGAAGTAATCTCATTTATGATAAATCAAATACTAAAAATAGTAACAGCTCTTTTAGTCGAGATTCAATCATTGATTCACTATGTCTTGAATTTAATTATATGGTTATCATTGATAGTTTAATGCTATCTGCGGAACTTTTTCCAGATTATCGTGGTATTACTCTTCTGATGTAAAATGGTCATTTAAGAAACAATTGCCTCAGCAATTTTATTCTCAGCTTTGGTTTTATCTAGAACACCGGGTAACAAATCAATCAATATTCGACCCAACTGGTATTCTCCAATCACAAATTTCAAGAAATCTCGTCGATCCTTAAGAAACTATGAACCCTTTAGAAACTATGAATGAACCCTCACTTTTTTTCCTACACTTACAATGCAACACAATCTCACAACAGCCTGTAAAGCAATTGCTCAAAACAAAAATCCTTATCATACAAATTTGTCAACAACAGTCAAACTGATACTTTACAAAAGCTTATATTTGTATGATCTTTTGATAAGACAGCATAGAACTAAAAAATTGTTAATCCTTATAAATAAGAACATGAAGTAGCATAAAAATGATGAAGCAAAGCAAAGAATTCACACAAGAATTATACAACAAATTGATGAGAGGTATAAGGAACAAAACTTGAAGCCGCAGCAAGTAATGGTAGAAGAGACACAAACAATCACTCAAGCAAGATGTTGGTGTGTATATATCTCAAAGGACCAAAAAATCTTCACTCCTTTTGCCTTTAACTGAGAGATGGATTGTGTTAGCAGTAGTGAACATCCCTACAAATGACCCAATAATCTTAATGAAACTCCAATTTACATTATCGCACAGGAACAGGTTCTGTCATTTCCATGATCATATTCATCATCTGATCCATCCACTTCACTGCAGTTGAATGACAAGTTTCATCGTAAGGAATCAATCAATTACAGGCAGATAATAAAACATAAAAATGAAAAGGAAAAAATGACAAAGAATAATGTCAGAAAATTTTACCACAACCAACTCGTATAATAACATGTATGACATTATTATACACAAATCAATGGTTGTCAACCTATCAGGGCATAGGACAGGTTATTAAAAGAATGGAGCAGAATGGAACGGAGCGGAGTGGAATATAAATACGATTCCATTGTTTGGATAGATCATGATCGAATACAGTCATTTTGTCATTCCGCCCAAATTGGAGGTACAAAAAATGATGGAAAGTGATGGAATGGAATGGAGTGCATTCCATCCAATACCACTCCATTCCATCCTTTTTTAATCAATCCAAACAATGGAACATAACTTTATTTCATTTTATTCCGCTCCATTTCATCTTATTCCATCAATCCAAACATACCCATAATGCAGTAAAGGCCTAATTTGTGATATACTTGTAAACGATAGCTCCCACTTGTAAATAATTTTCCAAGTTATATCTCATCATCAAATGCAGTACTTTTAACAAACCCTCTCACTCCTAGAACTAAACATCTCAGGCGCGACCGGAGTGGGCTGATAACAGGTGGTCTAACAAATCTTAGGAAGGCTATGATAATATTGTGTAGAAAGGGCTGATAACAGGTGGTCTAAAAAATCTTAGAAAGGCTATGATAATACCGTGTAAAAAGTAATAAGGAAAATACTTTCATGTTTATTACTCTAATCTAGGACTGTTTACAAAGAAGAAATTACAATAACTGTTGTCACAATAATCGGGAAAACTAATGGACTGCAATAAATAAAAATCAAACATACTAAAATTAAATCCCTCCAGATACAGCAAAAAAATATTGCTGAACGTACTCAATTGATCAAAATCTCCACACAAAAAACAGATAAAACCACTGAAGATCATATATGTAATAAAGGTTTATATTAAAGAAATGGCCAAAATGCATATGGTATAGAACTATAATATACATTATGTGCATAGAGTCACAACACAGAAAATTCCAACTAGAAAGTCGGCCAATTGGGTCCAATAATAGTTGATAATAACATCAAATCTGGACATATCAATAAAGTGAATTAAAAAAAAATTGCAGAAATTAAGTGATAGCATGCCCAAAAAGAAAGAAAAAAGGGAGATTTTATGAATCTTTTTTGTGTATACACTTCTTGAGGACAACAAAATAAATTTGATCATAATGGAATAGGAAAATAATATAGGGTAAGGCCCCCTTTAGTAATAATAGGTCAAAAACAAAAAACAAACATATCTGAGAAATAAAATCAAAGTAACAAAACTGTCCTAGTTCCAAATCCGGTTCCAAAAAACCACGTTACAATACACACTAATCAAACATCATATAAAAGCATGCAAGAAATGATGAAATTCCCAAAAAAATATTACTATTCACCTCCGATCACAGACACCCAAAAACTTCAGGAAAAGCACATGGCAACAGAAGCGCCACTCCTTGCTTCATCATAAAATTCCAAAATAGATAAAAGAAATCAATCCAAATTTGAAAGAATAAATTAAGTCATTCCAAATGTATCTATAATCATCGTCTAAGAATACAAAACAGATAGACAACTTAAGAAACAATGGCTTTTAGTCTCAGATATAGGAAACATATATCGAGAGAGGAAAGCTTCAAACTTTAGAGGATTACTAATCCGGGACAAATATCTAGTTGCCTTTAATTTTCAAAGGGAAATTGCAAGAAGATTTCTATACCTATGCAAAGACAGAGTTAGATTTAAGATCTACCAGTATAATCATCCAGCACCAGTTGAACCCAATATAATTTGGAACAAACAAAATATAAAACTACTTTGAGCTTGGGAAAGCTCTATGTGCATGTTCTCTAATCAGAATTCAGTTAACCCTTCATCTCTCAGAAGTAAAACCAATAATTCAACTCAGCCTCAAGCTAAACGCTAGAAGCTTCACTTATCAGTCATTACAATGAATACAAAGACTTAGGATCTGCAATTTAAAAATAGAAAAAGGAAAACGAAGAAGGCCATTCTAGCAAATCTCATGCACTTCTATTAATCACACAAAATAATGTATCAGGAGCTCCCACGTCCTGACGATAAAATTGGGTAAACAAGACCTCTAAAATTGTATAATTGTACAGAGAGAAAGATTATTCCTTTTATTACAGCTGATATATAAAATAAATATTCAAATACCTGGGTTCAAATTCTCGTATTTCAACAAGCTCGCTACCACAAGCATCTGTCCACTGCACTCTTCTTCTTTCTGTTTGATCACAAGGAGTACAAGCTCCATGTCCGCCTGATGCTTCTTGTTCATTAGTATCCTCAACAGAAACTGATTTATTACTTTGCGGCCTTTTAATGCTACTTTTAAGTGTGACCTTTATACCATCATTAGTATCATCTACATGAGTAGAGGGATCCTTTTCATCGTTAGAAACCGGTAGCCCTGGTGAAACATCATGCTGTTGGGCAGGGCCCACTTTAAGAGGCGACGGAGTATCAAGCCCTGCGGAAGTGCGACCAAAGCAAACAAAGGAGGCACACCCGCGGGAAAGGCGATTCTTTGTGGAAGCCAGCTGGAGTTCAGGGTCAGATTCTTGGTCTACCAACTGGTACTGGTTCCAGGGTGCAACTCTCATGGGTTTATCCTCATTCCTCTGTCCCAAAAGGAGTAGGCTCAGGCCCTTGCTATACCCTGAAGCCGAAGCAGAGAAGAATCCTCCACCTTCTACTGCAAATAACATCAGTTCTGCTCATCGGCACGCCATAAATGATTTATATATATGACTTCCTCCTCTTAGAAGAACAAAAGCTACAGCCTTTTCAACCAAACGAAATCCACAATCAGATTGATTTTCCTTAGTTTTAAAGTCCTCCAGTTTAGCTTTTTAAACAACATTTTCTTATGCAATTACACTCTTAAAAAATCAAAACATTGAATATGCTCGGCTGAACAAGTTTAACTTCAATGTAAATAAGATAATTATTTTACAAAAAAGTAAGATAACAAAAGAACGTTTAACAGTGAATTTAAAAATTACCAAAGCCTTCAAAGTTAAGGCAAGGACAATCTCCAACAAACAAAATACCCTATTAGACAAGCACAAGTTTCTACTTTCTAGATGCTCCAAAAACATGTAGAATATGTAACCCAAAAAAACAGCTAAGAGGGGGCCATAAAGTAATTGATTTCATTTCTTGTAAAAATATTAACATAGTTCAAAATATTTATGTGCAATATTAAATGCAATTCTAGAGGTGTAAAATTGATTTTGGAGTGATTTTGAGGTGTTTGGTTCTTCTAAAGTAGAATTGATTTTGCCTCCATAATTGATTCTATTTGAAGCTAGAATTTGTAGTTTACGAGTTTAAACATGATTTTTACACTTAAATTTGTTGTTCAACTCACTTTTACTTATATGTATCCAAACATAAATGAATTCTTATAAACTCAATTATGTTAAAATCAATTTTACCAAACTCAATTTTGTCCACTGTCAATCCAAACACACACTGCATATACTTTCGGTGTATGTTTTATTTCAAGGTTGGAGCACTTAAAATTGATTTTGGAAGTGTATAATTGATTTTGACATGTTTGGTTTTACTCTCAAGTAGAATTGATTTTGTTTTCCAGAATTGATTCTACTTCTAGAGGAATTGTAACTTTTGAGTCTAAAACTAATCCAGTCTTTTTTCTTCCACCACAGAACTAAACACACGCTCAACCATCCTTTACTAACCTATATATCAATATTTTCTAACCAATCTGATAAACACGAACTGAAAAAACCTATGGATTCACTCCACCAAAAGAAAAAATGACACAAAAAAAAGAAGATCACTACTTCAATGCAACAACTCCCAACAGCACAAAATACATGCACAATATTAACAAGCAATTTCTCAAACAGATTCACAACTCCAAAAAATAAAAACAAATTAAATACCAAAAAAAAAAATCAGCAAAGTTTATCGGTTACTCGCAAATGCATGAGAAAGAAAATCAAAAGCACGAAATCAAATCATGAACAAATAAAGTGAGATTTCGAAGTGTCAGTTTCCATTCACTAAGAGCAAATCTAAGATCGAAAAAGAAGGAGAAGCGATTCAACAATACCGGGAAATCAGAAGCGCGGTGACGGCGCGTGGATCAACGGTGAGGATGAGTAGCGAACGCGTGCGTCAGTGGCCACCTGGACGAAAATCTCGGCGAGAAGTTAAGTTGAGTGATGAATAATTAAGAGAGGATAGAATAAAAAAGGGTTCTGTGTATTTTTTCATGTTTTCAATTATTTAAGAAGAGGATAGGATACTGACTCACACGGCGCATGATAGCGACTTAACCTCTTTTCTTAATGTGCGCAATGGTTTTGGCTTCGAATGCGTTTTTGTTTTTAGAGGAAATTTTTGTGATGATAAATTGTTGTTTCCCAATAATTATTTACCATTTTTTGTCACAAAAAATTATTAAAAATTGATTGCGTATTATTATTAATGATGTCTTGAAATAAAATAGTTCAGTTACATTGTACTAATATTATTAAGCCTCATCTCTTTCATTGTTTTTGTATTAGAGGTTTTTGAAATCAAAGTTACAATAACAGTTTATTGCAACATATATTTTGTTATGCTGAAAAAACTCATACATTGCCTTTTCATATCTCTTTTGATCACATTCTAAATTACCTTAAATAATTTTGCATTGTACCCATCTATTCCTTGAGCTTTTGTGTCTCCTATACTTTTGAGTGTTGTCCAAATTTCTTGATTAATATTTAATACACTTTGGAACCAATTTTAAAATTAATTCATAAAATATGAATATGTAAAATAAAGGAAAGATAAATTTATTGAGAAATTTTCAAAACCAATAAAAATGTTTCAAAAACCCAACCAACAAAAAAGGAAAAAAGGATTGGATGGAGTAGCTCAATTAATACCTATTAATTGAGTTAAATATATTTAAAATATATATTTACATTACAATCTCTAACTATAATATTTATTTATAATTATGTATTAATATAAATAAATAATTAATGTTTATAAATTAATGATTAATATTTATAAATTAATTATTAATATTTATAAATTAATAATTTAAAAAAAAGAAAAAGGAAAGTCAGATTAAAAATTCGACCAGTATCAAAGAGAAAATAAAATCAAAAATAAATTTTGCCAGAACATAGAATGATCAATTTAGTGGTAATATTTTAAAACTCAAATATAATGATTAATTTAGACAAACATTGAATTGTTGGATCTTTCATCGAACTGCATAATTATTAAGACTCAAGTTGGTAAAATTAGCAATTGAATGATAAGCTGTATGATAGCTTATGGTTAATGATTAATAGTTTATAATTTATAGTTGATTATTGATGACTAATAACCGATAAATTAATTGAAGTGTTTAGTAAAATTAACGGTTTAATTAACTTTTAAATATAAAATGATATAAAAAATATTTTATTTCAAATAAAAATTAATTATAAATAATAAAAGTGAATTTTTGTTAAAATAATAAGAGTAAAAGTGGATGAAAAAAATGATAAGTTATAAATTATAAGCTAAAACACTATTTAAAATAGTATCGTAAAAATAAGTTATAAACTCGTAAAATAAACTATAGACTTGTGATGAAAAGACAATTATCAAACAAGTCTAAATTGTTATATGAGCTTATAAACTAGTATAAGCTATAAACTAAAAAATGTGAGACTTTACCTCAATTTATATTTAAAATTAAAAAACATTACATAAAATTAAAAATATTATAATTATTCTGGACTGTCCCAATAGTCAGGTATGACCCAATCTGCTTCTACCTTCCACGTGGTCCAACAATGTTAGCCCACTAATTATGGCCCTTCTGTCAGGCATACCTAGTCGACTGCACCCCGTGAGACCAACGATGTCTAAGACGCACCTCTGCCCGCATCGGCAGCTACCACTTAGTCTGCTCAACGCACATAGAGCAGACAACCAGAAAAACGCTCATAACGTATCTGCCTGTAATCCCTCTCTTGCTCGGAGCAACGACTAGTTACGAGCACGAGTGCCCATTTTGACTAAGTCCTGCCAGTTATCTATATTCTAGGAACCTAATATCTAGGCCAAAAAATAGGAATCAATGGCAGAGCGTCGGAGGCATTATATAAACCCTCACACTTGTGAGAGTCAGGTATCTAATATTCATTCTAAAAACCCTAATCTCTTTCTTGTATCTCTTTGCGCTCTTTCTTACTTGAGCGTCGGAGTGAGTTGCATGTACACCCCTCTCCTTTCCTAAAATTTTCAACCAAGTACTGAAGCGGTAAACGGAAAGCAAAAGTAAGTATTTTTATAGGGTGATATGTGTTATATTGCATCGTCTCTACAGAGATTAATGAGAGGGAAAAACTATCGCTCAATAGTTTCAATCCTTCTAAGTTTGAAAAAGGGTTTGCAGAAAAAAATGCGGGAAAAGTAAATAAAGCAATAAAGAAAGTGATAAACAATCATTTGTAGCCTAAGAGAGTTCATTCTTGAATTGCATTTCACTCTACCCGTCAAATACTTAAACTTTTGGATCAATTGCACGCAACCTAAATCACTCGTTAATACCATCATATATCACTCACACTAAGGCTATTTCTAAAACAAAGTGAGACATCACCCATATTGCTCTCGGAGGCGATTTCACACGCGACTCAAACAACCTGGATGCATTTCATAATTGATATCCACGTGAATATTAAGCCTAAATCTATGTCTAGAGTCTAGGACCTAATAGATATTCATTCAAGAAAGAGATTCAAAAAGCGTATGTCTATGACAAACCAAAACTCCGCGATAAAGCAAAAATCGAGAACAAACACTGGTATTAATTTGTAAATGAGATTTCATATAATCCCATGATCAACAAATGTACATACATAAAGAGTAAAGATATACATAAAAAATCCACCATTAGAATAATACATAGGGAAGAAGGAGGTGAATACGGAACTTCTCGCGTGTTTACCAGTGATTTCTGACAAACAACCGCTAGTCTTCCAAATCTTATGCTTTGGTAACTTACAGGATCGACTAGATTGATCCTAGGACATAGTCTTAGTGTTCTTACAGTCTGATTCGAAAGAAAACATTGTACGGATAATAACAAGGTTTTTATATGGTTACAATGATCTCAAGATGTTTAAAGTTTGACTACGAATCTTAAATATGACTTTAAAGGGAATAATCTGGGAATTTGTGAAAATATAAAGACAATGCTTAATAAGAAAAGTTTAATAAAATTGTTAAAAGACTGGAGTGGAAACGAAAAAGGAATAAAAGTGATTAAAGATTTTGTACTGAGAAATTAATTCTGAATAAAACTGGTGGTGTTCTTACACATACATTATCAACAAACTCGTTTCTCTCACTCTGGTACTTTAAGTATAATATGATTTTGTATACAATTCGAACACACCATTTTTCTAACATCTAAGACTTCTATTTATACTGATTTGACCCTAACGGTCCTTCTACGAAAACACGCCACGTTCAAAGATTGCATGTCTTTAGAACCGTTAGACTTCCACGTGTCTCTTTGGATAAGATCGAAGCTTTTGAATTTGAAATCTTCTTCTTTTCGAAGCGCCAATTCAAACAACATGACGATCGAAATATATTTCTCCCCAGTAAAGCTAAAGCATGCAGTAGATTTTGTTTCTTCAGTTGGCATTTACTTTTTCTTGGAATGATCATCTTGGATGTGGTTTAGCCGAGTGTTGTTTGTGCCAGAGTTGGTTTTTCCTGGTTACTCTCAGTGTTGTATATCAGTTTTGTCAGCATACGCACGATAATACTCATACATTCATACATACGTCATGCATAGCTAAAGTTGGCAAATCATTGTTCATTAACATTTTTTATATTTTTGTTGACATATTACCCTGTTTTGCAGAGTTACGTTGTCCTCTCTTCAATAGAGTGTTGGCCTTAAGCATAAAGCGTATATTCTTTCAATGTCCCCACTAAGTTGTCCCTTGTGGAAGATTTTTGCTTTAGCCTTCATGTACATCTCCTTGTTTGGATGGATTTGGTTTTCCCTCTTGAGTTTATTTCTCAAAGGATGTATTTTGGTTGACTGTTTCGTTCCAGTTTATTTTTGGTTTGAATCTGTGGTTCCACAACAATATTATTTACTTTGGATTTCTGAAAACTTTGAGTTTTGGTTGGTGCATTTATTCTGCACGAGGAGACTTTATCTCCTCAGTAGGAATATCGTGGCGTTTCCCCAGGAAGTCATATTTCTTTCCCCAGGAAGCCATGTTTCTATCCCCAGAAAGTCGTTTCTTTTTACAATCCTCCATGACAACTAGTAGCAGGTCTTTTTATTTGAGCAACTTGTGCTTCCCTATAAAAGTCGACGTAAATTTTTGTTACTATCTCCTCTATGAGTGGACAGATTGCAGTCCATCGTCAGTTTACGCCAGTGGATGGCAATACTTTTAAATTCGCAGAAACAGCTCGCTGTGAAATCTTTGCAAGTGGAAGTCTCTTTATTTGAGACAACTTACATATTACCCTTTCCAGGCAAAGTGCCTCGGTTAAAGAAGAAGTTGAGACCCGTTATAGGCTAAATGCCAGAATTTTAGGGAAACTTGTTATCTTTTTGCTACCTTCAGTGAACGTTGGTAGTTCATCGTCAGTGAACGGCGGTGCTATGATATATTCACTTTCTACCTTTAGTGAAAGTTGGTAGATCACCTTCAGTGAAAATTGGTGTTTGTTATCTTTTTTCTACCTTCAGTGAACGTTGGTAGTTCATCATCAGTGAATAACGGTGCTATGATATATTCTCTTTCTATCTTCAGTGAAAGTTGGTAGATCACCATCAATGAAAGTTGGTGTTTGTTATCTTTTTGCTACCCTCAGTGAATGTTGGTAGTTCATCATCAGTGAACGGCGGTGCTATGATATTGTCTCTTTCTACCTTCAGTGAAAGTTGGTAGGTCATTGGCAGTGAACATCGTTGATTGTTATCTTTTTGCTACCTTCAGTGAACGTTG